TATATATATATATATATATATATATATATTATGAAATGGACAATATATTTTAAGACATTTTTATGTTTATACATTCTTTTTATAGATGCAAATATTTAAGTAAATTCTCTGTTTATAATAAACAGTATTAAACAACATTTACCGGCCTGGATGTCCGAGAAATTTTTACAGAAAATATTCGTCCTCCGACAGGATTCGGAACCATCATTTAGCGTGACGTGCCTTAACCGATTTAATTTTAAAGTAGCGTTCAGTTAGTTAAAGTCGAATTTACTGTCTTTAAACTACAATCTTCCAGTAAATTCGATCTTGCTAACTGTACGCCTTTTTTAAGACATTTTTTAATGTTTATACGTTCTTTTTTTATAAATACAAATACATTCAGGTCAGTAAAAGAACCAGTGAAGTATACTTCCACCAATCTTTCACCCGCCAGTAGTTTAACATCGCCCGAGGAGACACATTTGTAGTGTTGAATCATAACTGCTAGTATGTAGCGATTTTAAGCATGTTTTAATATCCCAACATAAATAATTATATATATATATATATATATATATATATATATATATATATATATATATATATATATTTATTTATTTAAAAATATGATTCCATATTACATAAGAATATAATTATTTGAATTAAAATGCGCTTGGTACTTTAATCCAAATAATTATATTGAAGTTTTCGGCTCTTGTTTTGAAACATGAGAACTCTTATGTAGCGATGGAATCATATTTTTAAATAAATAATTATATTTAGGCACTACTTTTGCATCGAACATTATTTTTTTAAAATAATAACAAAATACTAAAGAACTTTATATTATTTACCTAACGAGTTATTTCCTATGTTCTATATTTTTTTATACATACATATATATATATATATATATATATATATATATATATATATATATATATATATATTATATTAGTTTCAAATGACTGTCAAGGTACAGCGGGTAGTTTTTATTTATTTTTTCTTGTATTCTTATAATTTTCTTCTTTTCTGGACATAAATTATGTTGGAATTGGTCTAATTTTCTATTTCTATGACAATTTTTATGTACAGTTTCTACGTAATTTATGCCCAGAAAAAGGAAATTTAGAACATTATTTCAAAAAATGAAATAATAAAACTTAACCACAGTAGCTTGTCTGTTGTTCTTAATGAAACTTATATATATATATATATATATATATATATATATATATATATATATATATATATATATATATATATATCTGAATGTAATGTGAACGAAAATAATATAAATTCTATGTTCACAGCATTAATTCAAAACAGGGCTCAATACCATGTAAATTATAATAATTATTTATTATAATTTTTTACATACGGACAAAATATACTGAAGTTATTTTATCTGGATATAAAAATATATATATATATATATATATATATATATATATATATATATGGACAAAATATACTTTTGTTTTTCCGTATCTAAAAAAAATATATATATATATATATATATATATATATATATATATATACAAATCCGTGATTTCCCACCTGAAGATACGTTAATATTTTTTTAGCATTGAGATAAGATGTACATTTTTGTAGTGGGAATGTACATGTTCTAATGTAACACTGCATAATACATATATATATATATATATATATATATATATATATATATATATATATATATATATATATATATATTTATATATATGTGTGTGTGTGTGTGCGTGTGAAATTGGGATTGTTTTTTCCCATTATTATAAAGTGTTAAACTGATACCCCGATTTAATATAATTAAAGCATATGTGAAAATTGGCATGTGAAACCCTTCTGATAATTTTAAGAAATTAAAATATGCCGCCATTTTTTGAAGGCATGTCATACTACTGTTAGTGGAGCATTCTACCTGACATAAAATGGGGGATCAGTTTTCAATAATTATAATGTAATATACTGATCCCTATATTAATATAATATTTGGAAAATTTATGTGAAGATACACATAAAAAAAACAACTTTTAAACATAGTAAGGACTTAACAAGATATACCGCCATTTTTAATGAATGAGTAAACTAGTATTGCTATATAAATCTACTCGAGAAAAAATGGGAACCATTTTATCTATTATTGTAAAGTAATATACGGATCCCTCAGAATTACTATACATTTAAATAATAATTAGGAAAAAAGGATCTCTAAAATCTCTTATGTGCAAACATTCTAAAAATCGTAATATCTAACAAAATAAGCATTTACAATACCAATGCATTTAGCAGCAGCGGAGCATTATTTTATCTAAACTAGCAACGCTAAGAATAAAAAAAAATTCCTCCATCATCTATTTGTTTTCTGCCTTCCAATAAAAATCGGTTCTCGTTATCCTGCAATGGGCGGAGTTCGCTATACAGTCGTACTGCTGTCTTTTCCCTTCCCTCATGTAGTAACATCGAACTGGTGTAAACAAAGCTCCCGAGGCAAAATGGTCGGCTTACGATACAGAGCGACCGAGAGTAATAGGAAAAAAAAATATATATATAATTTTCGACTAGATGAAGTGTGGGCTCCCTTTTAGCTGTAACGTCCATGCTGGTAGAGTGTTTAAAAGAGAGATAGTTACTGTTGCCAAAAACTCCTTTTAAATAATATTTTAAAAATCAATCGATCTTAAGTGTTAAAAGCTAGTATATATATATATATATATATATATATATATATATATATATATATATATATATATATATATATTAGCCCTATTCTAATATTGTGAGCTTCCTAATAAGTTTGTATATATAATAATATATAAATAATTATATATATATATATATTTATTTATATACACACACTTTTCATATATATATATATATATATATATATATGTGTGTGTGTGTGTGTGTGTGTGTGTGTGTGTGTGTATGTATGTATGTGTGTGTGATTTGTCTCTATATAACATCTACCCATGTGCAGCGCGGAGGTCTGCCGTGCCTATCCCCTGACGTGGCCATCAGGTCAGGTGAGGTCATGGATCAGGTCAGGTGAGGTCTAACATAGATATTGATATCTGTCTCACTAAATACATGACCTTATCCATATAAAAAGAAGCAAATGAAGCCACTACACGATGGAGTAGTGGATTGCTGTTCAGATTGAGGAATCGGAGAGCAGAGTTCGAATTCGGGTCTGATCCATTGCATTCACTTACGTGATATTACCCTTGAAAAAGATATGAATCCTCTTCTTCTCTCCCACGACTAGATATGGTTAAATAGCATTGGATGGCAACTGGTCTACCGCAGAAAAAAATGGCGACCTACAGCGGGAAAATATCTGCCTCGTGAAATCAGAATCGGCGTGATCGAAACACTCTAATCCCTATGGAATATGCAAATGATTCAGTGATACATTCAGATGAGGGGTATGGTAATAGTAATATATAAAATATAGTAATCTCAATGCCATGGGTTGCCAACATTCAACAGTAAATCACCAGCGACATTATATGGATCCAGCAACGGGAGCACACACTTAAGCAATTGAGCGATCGTTGTTGGATGCTGAAACGTTGATTCTCAAGAAAATGCGAAGTGTTGATAGTCAGTTGCTCCAATCTCATCTTGATCATTTTTTTTTTTTTTTGCTGGAAGATGGCGAGACAAAATTCCAGTGATCTATTTGTGTCATTCCTAGAAAATATACAAAGTGTTTATCGCTAAAATAAATGTATGTATTGTGTTGGATAGCGTGTTTATTTTTTTTACCTCTCTGTAATATAAATATATATAGTACATAGATATATAATGATAATGTAAGCTTTAAATAAATATGTATACACATACAATATTATATTACAATTCGGTACTGCGATAGACCCCACGCTATAGACGAAACGGGAGGTAGACTTCACGGTATACCGAGGTAGACCTCACGCTATAGACGAAACGGGAAGTAGACTTCATGGTATATTGAGGTAGACCTCACACTATAGACGAACCAGGAGGTAGACTTCACGGTATACTGAAGTTGACCTCACGGTATAGTAGCACCTATCTATCTATCTATCTATCTATCTATCTATCTATCTATCTATCTATCTATCTATCTCTACACTGTTTAACCGGCAAAGCTAAACCTGTTACTGTATTTTTAATCCCAGTGGTGAGTCGATATACCAATAGATTAAATATTAAATAGATTAATATTAAATAAACCTAACTTCATCTAACAGAATGAATAGAGTTTGCGTTACGCTCATCTTCAAGATTTAAAGGCAGTAAAATTCGCCTAGTAGGCACGGTTTTAGGGGCCAAGCAATTTTAGAATGAGAGCGTGCATGGCTCTCCATAACTTCCAGTTCTTTGGGCTCCTCTGAGTAAAAATTGACACGTCTTTTTTGCATTTCTCCAACCATCTAAACAATACCCTCGTTAAGCAGATTACTTACTATTTTCATCTGCTTATATCTTTTGGGTATTACATTTTCCAAGCCTTCCTTCCTCACTTTTGTGTCTCAAAACGTTCAGCTCCCCTTTTCTGGTTGTAACTATCAGGTTACATTTACTGTTTTCCTTAAAACGCTCGCGTTTCTCACCAGTACTACTTATGGCATCCCTAGCAATCGTCGGTATAACAACATCTCTGCTGCATCAACTATCTTTTTATCCTGAGAAGATATTTTTCCATAATTCACCGCCATGTAGAAGATTATATCGTTCATTAAATACTCTTTCTCCCCTATAGCAGAATGGACATAATTCTCTCCAAAATCCATTTCTGGCATTGTCATATGATTTGATATGTCTTCCTCATCTATGCTGGTTCAGGGCCTTTAGGAAGAACATGAAAGAACCTGAAACGATCATTTTTCTATCTAAAGGATTATATAAGGCAAGTCTTACTATTTAATCCACATGTTGGGGAGAAAATTAAATATTACATAACATTTAGCAATTATTTTGTTCCTAAAGATAATTTTATATGTTAATTAACTAATGAAATAGCGCTGGCATACGACCATATACTGTTGAAACACCGGTTCTGTTACGATCACTGAAGTTAAGCAACGTGGAGCCTGGTCAGTACGAAAATGGACGACCGCTTGGGAATACCAGGTGCTGTAAGCTTGGATGTACAGGTGGTGTAATGGATAATTGCTCGGAATTGGAAAGATGGTAGCCGAGTTACAATTCTGGTTAGGTTCGTTATATTCACTTACGTGCAAGCACCTTCGTAAAAGGTATGAATCTACCTTCACCCCAGCTATGGGTTAATTAGTAAGACAAGAATCAGTAAACTTAATATTATCCCAAGGAAAAATTCTTACAATGTAAAAATATTTTTAAAATTCTTAAACCGTCAACGTAATGTCGTACATTAAAGAAATAGTTTTATAACAACACATATAATGCCTACAACATATCATGTACATACATATATTTACATACATACATTAGATAATATTACATTAGATAATATCACATTAGATAATGCACAAAAAGATATACATACATATTTATAATAAAACAGATGATAACTGGTCACTCGTATTCGAGGACAATTGGCGGCTAGCCAATCCCTACTGCAGACGCTCGCTCAGGCACATTTGTGTTTGTTCAACGCCCGTAGATCCCACCTGTGGTTCATACTGCAACTATTACAGTTTCTGGGAAAGTACGTGTTATCTAGCGTGATCAATAATTTGAACAAGGCCAGCACGCTCAATCCCTCGGCCACGATGACTTGTGGCTTCGTGCTAGCACAGCTATCGACGGCCCACAAAAGTTCCGTCTACCTAGTTTCACACAATGGTTTTAAATGGTTTTCAGGCGACCCAGTCCGACAACATCAGGAAATCTGACAAATCGATCATGGTGAGATTCAAATCCGGATCTCATGGTCAGAAAGCGAAGTCGGGGTGGTAGCACTTTTCAGGGTCACAGCTATGGGCAAAAACTTCAAAAAGAGGTCAAAAAACAAAGTGTAAAAATAGGTTTTAATACCAGCAATACATTTTTGGAAAAAATATTACCAGCAATAGTCTTTTGAAAAAAAAATATTTCCAGCAATACCCTATTGAAATAAAAATATTACCAGCAATAAATATCTTGTCGGCATTAAATAACCCATTGAGTTTGGCATGCCGTAAAAGAAAACAAACCAAATCAAACCTATTTCTTGTCAGCATAGACACTTTTTCATACACATAAATATCTACAGAACCCTTTTAAGTGGCATAATATTAATGATAATAATAGCTTCAGTAATTTCTTAATTCGTGTTCTTTTATTGCTCTATCGACTTAATAGCGCTTTTTTGTCATATTCTCATAATTTTATTCTCATTTTGTCATATATTTTATTCATATTCTCATATTTTTTATTCGCATATTCTCACTTTTTATTCCCATACTTTTATTCTCATATTTTTATTCTCATACTTTTATTCTTATATTTTTTATTCTCTTATTTTTTCTCATATTCCCATATTTTATATTCTCATATTCTCATTTTTATTCTCATATATTTTATTCTCATATTTGTTATTCTCATACTTTTATTCTCATATTTTTATTCTCTTATTTTTTTATTCTCATATTCCCATATTTTATATATTCTCATGTTTATTCTCATATTCTCATATATTTTATTCTCATATTTTTATTCTCATACTTTTATTCTCATATTTTTATTCTCTTATTTTTTATTCTCATATTCCCATATTTTATATTCTCATATTCTCATTTTTTATTCTCATATTCTCTTTATTTTCTATTCTAAGTTTTTTCTCATATTTTTTATTCTCGTATTTTTTATTCTCATATTTTTTATTCTCATATTTTTTATTCTCATATTCTCATTTTTTATTCTTATATATTTTATTCTCATATATTTATTCTCATATTCATCATATTCTTATTTTTATTTTTATAATCACATATTTTATTCATCATATTTTTATTCTCATATTTTTTATTTCATATTCTCATATTTTTATTCTCATATCCTCATATATTTATTCTCATATTCACATATTTTCTATTCTCATATTCTTATTTTTTTATTCACATAATTTTTATCATCATATTTTTATTCTCATATTTTTTATTCTCATATTCTCATTTTTTATTCTCGTATGTTTATTCTCATATTTTTTTATTCCCATATTCTCTAACACTAGTAACGGAAATTGGAAAATATCAAAAGTTCTCGGGGAAAATAAAAATAAATAAATATAACCAGAGTTAATTTTTTTTTTTTTTTTGCTGTTTTTAATCATGAAACAATAAAAGCTTATACGCGATTACGAAAGGATTTTATTGAAAATAAACAAACAGATCATAACTAAATTGTTAAATCAGAATTTACTTTTATTATTCGGTTTGTTATTGCCATATTCACAATATTTCGGCCTTTGTACGTTCCAGCCTTCTTCAGGTGATAGGAATTATCGAACCGAACAATTTATTTTGTCCACCGGCGTCGATTGTTCTAGTTCCACGTGCCATGCCTCTTCTGTATATGTCAGTTATTTCCCTTTAACTCAACTCTCCAAGTTTTGGTTCACCACTGCTGTGGCCTGGTATTGAACTCGCAACAATTTGGGTCTAGTCACCGGATTATAAATAACGTCTGTCTTTATCCACTGGGTCATGTGTCCTTGTATGAATTTTTGGGACTCACGTAGCAGAAACCATTTTTACCAGTACTCATATTAAATCAGACATGCTTAAATGAAAATATGCTGCCATATATATATATATATATATATATATATATATATATATATATATATATATATAAATTATTACAATGAAATATTATTATATTATATAATATAATAAAATATTATATAATGTTATTGTTATAATAAAAACATTTTACGTTGCTACACAAATCCTTTCGTGTTTCGGTACAATAATTGTTCTTCTACAGGCGATGGTAGATAACATTAGATAAAAACGATTTATTTGGGAAATTTGAAAATAAATGTTATATAAATAAAAAATTATAAATTCTAATGGCAGAAAAATATATCTGCGGCATGTCTTGTTCAAACAATTCAAAGTGGATTCCACTCCGTCTGGTCTCCCTCTTATTTATGATATATATATATATATCATAAATAATATTCTTACTCTGTTCTGGACATTGAGTTCTACCTGGATAATATCCTCTTACGAATTTATATATAAATCTCTCTCTCTCTCTATATATATATATATATATATATATATATATATATATATATATAATATATCACGATTGCCAGATAGACAGACCTACCCAGGTTTTCATCTAAGCGGATCGTCAGGGAAATCTATCTTTCCCTGAGGATCCGTTTAGGTGAAACCTAGGTAGGTTTGTCTGGCTCTCTAGGTTTATCTAGGTCTGCTCTACGGTGTATTGAGCTCTTTTGTTAGTTAGTTGTTTACTCGTATCGGTTTTTTTTTTCTTTGGGCTTCAAACCTGCATCTGTGCGATTTTTTTTCGACAGACTTTCATGTTTCTAGCTCTTTCTTTTTTAAAACCTTTTTTCCCTCGAGATTGATTTGATTTTGCAAATCAAAAATTCGAGGGTTTTTCGAAACGAGTCTAGTTATCTATATATATATATATATATATATATATATATATATATATATATATATATATATATATATATATTCTAAAATTTCTGTATATATAAATATATATGTAAATATTTAAATTTATAAAGGTTTTAGATGTGCATATATATATATATATATATATATATATATATATATATATATATATATATATATATATGCCCAATTTCTGAATATTTAGGATAATATGATATTTTGGCTATTTTTTGGATGATATCATATGTACGGAAAAGGTTTTAATGAGTTATATTAAAGTGAGAAAGAAAGTTACCATATTGATGCATATTAATTTATACCGAGCATTTTCAACATTAGAAAATTGCCATGTTGCAAATCTTTTTTATCAGATTCTTGTTTCACTGGCAAATTTATTTGTGTATATAAAAAATAAAACGTAATTTTTTCATTTCATCATTGAAAAACGTTAAATATGTTTTAACCATCTGTAATTAACGTTATTGAAGTAGCATTCACTATTTTTTATCTCAATTTGGACGTCCATATACCTTGAAAATCACTGTCCTTTTTTTTAGATAAGTGCAGGATTTGATGAATATATATATATTTGTCAGGATTGTAAATCCGCTCTGATGATTTTTATAAACCGGCAGGAAAATTTAATTTTTCATCATTAAACAAGAAATGGATTCATTATTGCATATAACCAAAATGAATGCATGTCAAAATCGACACACATACACATGCATCTGGCTGATTTGAATTAACGAATTCAGGATGAAATACATTGGAAATCTTCAATTTTATTAATTCGTGTGGATGTCACATTTTAATTATTTTACAGCATTAATCTTTCCCTATTTTAGTTGGGATTAATATTTCCCGTTGCATGGACTAGAATTGGTTGTTATTTTGGTGAAATAGTAATTGTGATTTGGAAATTGAATTGACGGTATGTAATTAAACGCAGTGGAATTTGTTATTGAAGCAGAATGATCAGAACTAAATAAGAACTTCAAGAAAAAAAATTCTATCCCAGAAGATCAAATACATATTTGTTAGTTAGAAATTTGTTTGTTATTTAACCGGTAAAGAATCTGACGAATGCCGAAGTGCACAACAATTAAACTTTGTGCTGCAACAACAGCGTTTAGTTGAAATCAATGGTACCCTCTAAATGATGGAAATAATGATAATTCTTCATTCCATATATTTAGACTTTAGAATTTATTCATTTTATCATAAAAAATCTTAATGAAATTATACGGTGATTGTTATATTTATTGAGAATAATGTAAATGAAGTTAACAATTGAAAACGGTCACCTATTGCTTTTCATACAGTGACCATGGTTTCTTTTCAGCTGAAAAATAAATAATACTTTACCACCTCTCCGCTCAAAATATACCATCAACGTCATAAGAACTTATTTTACCTGACATAAACTAAATGAATGACATATAACATCGCTATTCATTATGGACCATATACAATGTCCATAGAATTATTTAAATTCATGGAGGACAAATTAAATTAT